GTGTTAGAAATCAAACCAAAGGTTCCTAGTCTGTTTGTACTTTAAATACAAACAAGATGTGGATAAAAACTTCTGATTATAAAGTCGTCTCAGGCCACGAAATTAACATTTCTAAAATAACGGTTCATTTTTTATTTCCAGTTTTTTTGTTTGGTCTCATTTTTGTACAAATGTTCAGAGAAATGGGAAAAGTGTTGCTCTGTAGGAATTGTTCAATTGCTGCCGATTAGGCGGATCAGATCGTCGCATCGAACTGATGGAAAAACAAATCCGACGGGATTGTTTCGCTTCAAGAGCAACAGGAAAATGTCTCTGTGACATTTACCCACATACTCACTCATTCACTCACTCACTCATTCACTAACTCACTCAATCACTCACTGATTCACTAACTCACTGATTCACTAACTCACTCAATCACTCACTGATTCACTAACTCACTGATTCACTCACTCATTCATTCACTCACTCATTCACTAACTCACTTATTCACTCAGTCAATCACTAACTGATTCACAAACTCACTCATTCACTCACTGATTCACTAACTCACTGATTCACTCACTCACTGATTCACTCACTCATTCGCTCACTGATTCGCTCACTCAATCACTCACTGATTCACTCACACAGTCACTGATTCACTAAATCACTCATTCACTCACTGATTCACTAACTCACTCATTCAATCAATCACTCACTGATTCACTAACTCATTCACTCACTGATTCACTAACTCACTCATTCACTCACTGATTCACTCACTCACTCAATCACTCACTGATTCACTAACTCACTGATTCACTCACTCATTCATTCACTCGCTCACTGATTCACTAACTCACTCATTCACTCACTGATTTGCTCACTCACTCATTCATTCACTTACTCAATCACTCACTGATTCACTCACTCATTCGCTCACTGATTCACTCACTCACTCACTGATTCATTCACTCACTGATTCACTCACTCAATCACTCACTGATTCACTAACTCCCTCAATCACTCATTGATTCACTAACTCGCTCAATCACTCTCTGATTCACTAACTCACTCAATCACTCTCTGATTCACTAACTCATTCATTCACTCAATCACTCACTGATTCACTAACTCAATCACTCTCTGATTCACTAACTCGCTCATTCATTCACTCACTCAATCACTCACTGACTCACTAACTCACTCAATCACTCACTGATTCACTAACTCACTCAATCACTCACTGATTCACTAACTCACTCAATCACTCACTGATTCACTAACTCACTCATTCATCCACTGATTCACTAACTCACTCAATCACTCTCTGATTCACTAACTCACTCATTCATTCACTCACTCAATCACTCACTGATTCTCTAACTCACTCATTCACTCTCTGATTCAATCACTCACTGATTCACAAACTCACTCTTTAACTCACTGATTCACTAACTCAGTCATTCACTCACTGATTCACTAACTCATTCATTCACTCACTCAATCACTCACTGATTCACTAACTCATTCATTCACTCACTCAATCACTCACTGATTCACTAACTCACTCAATCACTCACTGATTCACTAACTCACTCAATCATTCACTCACTCGATCACTCACTGATTCACTCACTGATTCACTAACTCACTCAATCATTCACTCACTGATTCACTCACTGATTCACTAACTCACTCATTCACTCTCTGATTCAATCACTCACTGATTCACAAACTCACTCACTCACTGATTCACAAACTCACTCTTTAACTCACTGATTCACTAACTCGCTCATTCACTAACTCACTCATTCACTCACTCACTGATTCACTAGCTCACTCATTCACTCACTCACTGATTCACTAACTCACTCATTCATTCACTGACTCACTAACTCACTCATTCACTCACTGATTCACTATCTCACTGATTCACTAACTCACTCATTTGCTCACTGATTCACTATCACTGATTCACTCACTGATTCACTTACTCGGTTACTAAATCTCACACTAGCTCACGCCCATCCTTTCTCACTTGCACACTACTCGCTCACTCACAAACTCACTCATTCACTTTCTCACTCCTGGCTTCTGTTTCAGAGCAGGTTTTGTTTTTTAATAAAAACTGATGAATCATTAAAAATGGTTCATTAAAGGGAGCGTTGCTTATTTTCTCCAGCTCTTTCTGGTTAGGAGCACCTCTTAGATATAAAAAGCATAGTTTATGAATCATTAGTAGTTCTGATTTTAAACAGTTTCAAGTTTTTCTGCAATAAATAAATGTTTTAATTTGTAATCTAATCTTGAGGGCTGCGCGAAATGCCCCGATAGCTTCAGGGCTACACTTGACACACCCCTGTTGAACACGAGGAAATGGAAACATGAATAATACAAAAAGCTGTGAGGAGCTGAGTGTCGGGTTAATCACACAAACCTCCAGCAGGTGAATAATTAGCTTTTATCTGGATTCTGGATCCTGATTTATCTGAGAAAAAAATAAAATTCAAATAAAAACATGAATGAACTCAGACTGAGCTGGGTTTGAGGTCGGGGTTTAGCATCGGTCTTAGTTGTCTCTATGAGCGCAACAAAAAGGAAAGTTAAACACACACACACACACTTTAGGTGAACTGTAGGAAGTGGCAGACAGGAAGGGACAGGACGACATCTGTTTCCCTCTATTCATCTGTTGGCTGGAATAACGTGGAGGTTTGAGGCTGAGTGAACATCCGGCCTCCTGATTGGTCTCGGTTTCGGACACGCAGCAGATTTCTGGGCAGATGTGCGGCGCCTCTTCGTCATACATCATCCATAAAGACACTGTCATTCCCCCACAGATGCCCACCGTGTGATCACTAAATTAAAAGAAAAAATCAAGTATTTTATTTATTTTATTTTTTTTTTTGTTTTCCAGGAGAAAATATGTGAAATGATTATAGTTATATAACGCTGAAATCGCCCGCGTGGCTGAACAGGAAACCTGAAGCTTCAGCTGCGCAACCAGTTTTGCATAAACGCCCAAAATAGCCTACCTGCCTCCGTTCCAGGGCAGCATATTTACATGTCACCACCTCTGAAACACAACAAGCAGCACGTTATTTTTGTTTGGATTTGTTTAAATACCAGAATCTTTAAAAATCTCCGTTTCTGAACATTCCTCTGATTCCTTTAGATCCCCAAAACCCTGAGAAGTGTGAGCTGGTCTGAGACGTCTGAGCTCTTCCTGTTTCCTGGAGAACAGCCTCAGTCGTTTACAGACATGAAGTTCAGCCTCTAATGTCCGTCCCTGTCTTCGTGTGTTAGCGAGTTAAGGTCACAGCCACTCGCTTCGGTAGAAGATGGCTGATGCATTCACACACTGGCAGCGTGCCAACTTCTTTCCTTCTAAGAACTTTTAAAGTTCTGTTGAAAACCATTGGTGGTGTTTTCCTCAGAAGTCGTCTCTGTGAGATCAGATACTTGTGTCAAACTGTTAGAAAGAGAAACTCTTGAGTATTTTGTTTAGCTTTAAGAAGAACATGGCTCCCTCACTCACTCGCACTCATTCATTCACTCGTTCACTCACAAACTCACTCACCAGTCTCCCTAACCTAATTTTCATTTTGTTGTAAAGTCTTTAAAATAGAAAAACTGAATTTATTCAAATAAAAATCCTTATAAAACTTTAAAGGTGTAGATCACCGAAAACCTATTTTCTAATGATTATTTCTGATTCTAACGGGTCACTCTGAGTTTTTCATGCAGGCTGAACATGAAAATAGTCTCCTACACCTATCTCCTGCAGTAGCTTCTGATAGAAAACAGACGGTGAAACTCTAGGATTAGAAGATCCTGACAGATCTACGTCACACTGTCACTAACATTCATGGACTCACCCATCTGGACTCACGACGGGGAAGCCGTTGTTGGTTTAGCGTCCAGGAAACAGCAGAGAACGTCTCAGCTACTAGAAGCTAACAGTTAGCATTAGCAACTCCACCACACAGCAGAACTCCTCCAGGCTTGTGTTATTTGTGGAGATAAAACATCAACTTTGCAGAGCAAACAGAGTCAGTGGTAGAGTCGTGTTGCTGTTAGCCAATCAGAAGAGAGATGTCCAAATATCAGGACATAAGACAAAAAATCCTGTCAGGTTCAGCTCAGCTCTGATGGGGCATCCTGCTAGTTCCTGAAACAGACATGATGAGCTGTCCTGGAACACCCTGACTGAGTTTAATCTTTTATACCAAACTTACCTTTTTTAATTTACCCGTTCGAACCCGCAGGGTGAGGAACTCGTATGGCGTCAGAGTTCCACCATATCTCGTGCACGCGTATTTTCCACATGGCGGAATTCTGACGCCATAAACTCGGACATTCGGGAGAGACTCGGCGTAGAGCCTCCATATCGAGAGGAGTCAATTGAGGTGGTTTGGGCATCTTTTTAGGATGCCTCCTGGACGCCTCCCTGTTTAAGGCATGTCCTGCCAGCAGGAGTCCTCCTGGTTGACCCAGAACTTGTTGGAGAAAGTACATCTTCGAACTGGCCCAGGAATGCCTCGGGGTCCTGGAACTGGTTTGACCTGGTGATCTATGGTGTAAGATGAACTGGTGGAGGTGGCCGGTGAGGGGACGGTCTGGAACTCCCTAGTTGAAATGCTGCCCCTGCGACCCGGATAGGCGGAAGAAGAGGAGAGTTCAAAAAACCTATAGAACAGAAATGTTTACTTGGTGTAAAAGGGAATATTCCTATTCTAGTTTTCCCAGAGATATCGATGCGGTTCCAAGACTCTGCATCATTACTGACGAGGAAGAGATTTGACCTTTTAAGAGATGTTTATCTCTCTTCAAATTAGCTTTTTTTACTTTTCAGTTGATGTAGTTTGTTCCACTCAGTTTGAGCCGACCTGGCTCGCCTGGAATAGATAAGCGGATGTCCTTCCTGTGACCCAGGAGTGATGTGAGGAGGGCAAATGAGCTCATGTGTGATGCCGCTTTTCCAACATGTCTTTTATCTCTCCCTTTTCCAACAGATGATGCACCTTGGTTCATATTGGTGCCCCCACCCCCACCCCTACAAGTGACTCGACACAGTGACCAGACCAATGAGTCCTCAGCTGATTCCCAAGTGTAAGAACGTGCATTTATAAAGTTTTTTATTATCAGTTGTGTTCTTGCAACAAATTCCCTTTAACTCGTTCGCTGCAAGCGTTTCTCACCGTTTTTACTGTTTTTTTAAAGAGTGACAGAACGTTGCGCACTAGGATGATGTCGACGCCAAAACAACCAAAACAAAGCGGAGACTCACCTCTGACATCAGGAAGAACCCGCGCGTTTCGAGCGTTATCCGTTCTTTCATAATCCGTTGTTGAATTGTGATCAGCAGAAGCTTTTCCGGTTCGCGTTTCACTTTTTTTACAGCAGCGGCCCAAAACGATCTCCTAACACATGGATTTTCTGCTCCCTGATCACGTGACGTGTGACGTATACGGATGAAGATCGGCTTTAGAGCTGAGATGTTTGTTCTCACGGTGCGGGGCTCGTCCGACGCCCACACAGTAAAAACATGCAAATGACTGCTTTAGTCCAGGAAACGGCAGAGAGTTAAGCTTTGTTTATGCTTGACGCATTCACTTTCCACTTGGTGATGCGGCTCGCGGATGGAACGCACTTCACAACTTGCAGCGTTTATGGTTCGTGCGGCTTGTCTCTGCAGTGAGCCAATATTCTCCCAAACTGAACGGGGCAGCATGGAGCTCTACGGCAAGCATCCAACACTATACCATAGTAGAAGTAAAAATGACTGTTTACAACATGGCATTCCAGCATTTTTTAACAGCGTCCTCGTCTTTTCTGACAGTGCGAGCCATTTCTCTCCAAGAATTATTAACAACATGTTGATCATGGTGATCTCTGAGAGCTGAGTCATACAAATGTCTGTGTTTACAAACCTCTGCCATACTAGTTCTTGCTGGTCCGCCATGTTTTTCCGCGTCCCACCGTCCGCCTGGTTAGAAATTTTCCTAGGTGCGCGTTGCGGAAATTTTGGGCCGTGCGGAGACGCGGTGTAGGGGCGTGGTTGTTAAAATGATGCAATTTCGCCACGCGGAGCCGTGTGGACCTCGCGGACGCGTCAAGCATAAACCAACCTTTACAGGCTGAAGTTAAGGATTTAGAGGAATCACTGAGTTACATTCATAAAGTGGCTCTTCTTTAGGTTATTTAACAGGTTACCTTTACATTTTTGGGTGCTTTCCATTTAGTTTACAGCAAGGGTTACCATGGGGCCCCCCCTGGCCTTTTCTCTAGAATAACGTTTAAGGAAACGTACATTTTAAACTAAGGATGTTGAATGTCAGCTTTTAACGATTAAACGATAATTTCTGATAAAGATATAAACCAATACCATTATATGATGGGTCCTTCTTCTAAACATGATGAGCTAAATTAAAGTGTGTTTAATATGTGCATGGTAAATAAAATTGGTCATCAAGACTAAAATCTGACAGATATTACATTTTATTGCCAATATGGGCTGAGAATATCGGACATGTCTGTTTTAATTCAAACAAGATTAAAAATAGACATTTGCATGTATTTTGCAATAAAACAACATAGGCTGAAAATCCAGGGAACGCCATTTTAAACTGCTTAAATAGTTTTGCAGGATTGAATATGTGTAAAATAAATGTTTTTGTTTTCTGCCCTGATAAATGTCAGCATCAAACTGGCCTTTAAAGGGTTAAAACGTCTAAACATTTGGGCTTAAATTGTTTATTAGATTAGAGCAGAACACAAACTCTGGTAAAGTGACAACTGAGGGTTAGTTGAACTAATTTCACAATCAGGATGATGAAAAAAATAGAATCAATATTTGCTTTAAAACCAGCAGAAAATCCCAGAGAACGCCTGACTTTATGCTCAGACCTGCTTGTTGATATTGACTCAGATTAAGAGAAGGCTGGTGTTCTCTGCGGAGCACCGGAGCCTTTTAGTGTTTGTTTTTGGGGGGTTGTCTTCGTCTGTCTGGCCGATGCGGCCTTCATGAAATATTGATCACATGTCCGCCCTCCCTGCTGCTGTTTGTCTGCACTGACAGGCAGACGACTGCAGAGACACCTCAGCTGAAATGATTGAGGTCATCAAATAAAACTGAAAAGAACAGAACCGGCTCGGCGGGTTCGTAAACGTCAAGGCCCGACTCCCTCCCCTGTACCGTGTAAATCACTCATTCCTCCTGTTTATCATCTGCTCTCACGCTCTCTCCTTGCTGTCAGCTCCATCCGTCTCAGGTCTTAAAGGTAATTTGAGATTACTGAATGAAGCCATTAAAATATCATAACCTGAGATTAATGAGATGCCCGTAGTTGTTGATTCCATGTGAGGTCAAGGAAATAAATGTATTAATCAGTTACATGGAAGAAAAAGCAACTTTTGCCTTGCAACCTACAAGAAGGTTGTAGGCTCAAATCCCAGCTGCAGCAGGTTCTTCCCATGCATTTGTGGATTTTCTACAGGTGCTCCAGTTACCTCCCACAGGCCAGAAACATGCATGTTAGGCTGACTGGAGGCTCTGCAGAGTGAGTGTGTGACAGGTTGTGTCGTGTGAGAGACTGGAGATCTTTCCAGGGTGACTGCCCAGACCACTGAGACCCTACCCTCGGTGATCTGGAGAGGAAATGTGGTCAGAAACCAAACGGCGTGAGGATTTAGACTCTAGAGTTCTTCAAGTTTTGCTGCAGAAGTTAAAATTAATGGCTCAAAATCTCGTAATGTTTTGGCTGAAATTCTGAGGAGTCCACAAAAAAGAATAATAATAATAATAAATATACTGATTATCATAAATGGAATCTAACCCTCATTATTAGGCCTGCACAAAATGCAGTGATTGCTCTTGGAAAGTGTTTCCAAAACCTTTCTGCTTCAGACCCACTGGGAGTCCTGGGATTCTCCAGAATTCACAGATTGCCGGTCCACCTCTGCTCTCACTGTGGGAATGTCAATTTCAGACCTCTCATAAGTGGGAGAATTTGCAAAGTCACAGGGTGTTCAAATATTTAAGTTCCTCACTGTATAAAGTAAAATTAACTGTTTAACTCTGTTAAAAAAATTACAGTGAAATTTGCATCCATCCGTAAGTTTTCCTGTTTCTTCTCAGATTAACACATTGAATCCAGACCAAACGGCTGAAATCCTCTTTCCTCAGACGCTGTCTCGCTTTTCCATGACTGGAAAGGCTGGTTTCTGTGGAGGTGTTGTTCTTCCCACCTTCATTAATCACATGCAGAGCCACAAACTGGTTGTATTGGTAAAATGTTGATAAGACTATTTACTCCAGCATTAAAAAAATCTAATAACTTGGCTGAAGGAAACAAGTCTTTACCTGTTCTTGTGCTAGTCACAGACATGTGACTGAGACAACAGGCATTATGTATATTTGTTCCCTAATCCTCAGTTTAAATGCTTATATTCTGATTTTCCTATTCTGTGTCAAATATTTTTTCTCAAATCAATGATTTAACCTTTGAAATGTCAGATTATCTGAGCAGCAGAACATAATCACAAGATTTAATGTTTATTTTTGTCTTCAAAAGGCAGAAAAAAGCTCTTTGGAGAGTTTACTTGAGTACTTTAAAAGCTTTTTTTCTTCTACTCTCTAAACTATTAACTTGTGTTGTCTTATTTTTAAATCCTTGAGATTATATTATATTTTCTCAATGTTTGTGTCATCGGTATCTGTTTTAATGCAGGCTGACGTGGCAGAAGAGCAGCTCTGGAGCTACAAGCTGGTTGTTTCATTATTTATTATCCTAATCTCTTATTCAGATGTTCAGGGTGGATTTTATAGTAGATATGGATTTAGATGCATTCTGGAACAGCATGAGAATCAGTCTAAATAATTAATATTACTGACGGGCTCCATAAATTGCCAGCTGAGGTCAGAGCTCTATGAAAGCATCAGGAAAACAGTAATGGGGGTGTTGGGGTTATGGTGCTAGGGTCACTGTTTACCATATATCCGTGTCTCCGATGAGGATTCATTGATCTCTGGGTGGTTTCTGCTCACCACCACTAGGATTAGATCTCTAAATCTGTTTTTATAAAACTTAATCTAAAATTTTCTAACTTGTCTGACATAAATAAAAGGTTCTGTTCTTAGATTCTCATGCTACAAACAGCTGATTTCTGTTTTTCAGTGTGACACTTCTTTTTCACGGGGGGGGGGGGGGGGGGCTTCAGCTATGCTAACAGCCAGCAGTTGACAACCATTCAGTTGTAATCCAAATACCTACAAAATATCAGTTTAGTACTCTTGTTGTAGATCACAATGTTCTTGTAGAAAGGCTTGAACATGTTGTAGGGATCAAAGGAACAGCACTAGGCTGGTTTAAATCCTACCTGTCTGACAGATTTCATTTTGTAAATGTACATGACAAATCTTCTTCATACTCAAGGGTTACTTGTGGAGTACCACAGGGTTCAGTGCTTGGACCAATTCTTTTTACTATATATATGCTCCCAATTGGTAAAATCATTAGACAGCAAGGGATAAACTTTCACTGTTATGCTGACAATACTCAGTTATATTTATCCATTAACCCTGATGAACCTAATCGGTTAGGTAGATTACAGGCTTGTCTTGAGGACATAAAAAATTGGATGACTCTAAACTTTTTGCTTTTAAATCAGATACAAGACGGAAGTTCTCATCTTTGGACCAGAAATCCAGAAAAGGACATTGCTTAGTCAATCACCTGACATAAATGGCATTAAATTAGTCTTCGAGAACAAAGTAAGGAACCTTGGTGTTATTTTTGACCATCATTTTTGACATCAGTGATCTGATTGTTCCAACGTTCCTAACCGAGCACTTCGCTCTCAGACTGCAGGTTTACTGGTGGTTCCCAGAATATCTAAAATTAGGATGGGATGCAGATGTTTTAGTTATCAGGCTCCTCTCCTGTGGAACCAGCTCCCAGTCTTAGTCCATGAGGCAGACACTTTGTCTACTTTTAAGACTAGGCTTAAAACATTTTTATTTGATTGGGCTTATGGTTAAAATCTGATGTTAGCCTAGATCTGGACAAGTGGGGGAGTAGAGGGAGGTGGAGTGTATAGTCTGTAAAGACGGCTCTCCCTTGCCCTGCCTCCAACATGCCTCCATCTAAAAAGGCTAAGTTATCCAGAGTTATCTCTGTAGTTATGCTGCTATAGGCTTAGACTGCTGGAAGATACACTGACCACTTTTCACACTCTTCTACTTTCTTCTACAATCTGCTCGTTAACTGTATTATTTCCTGCTACTTCAGCTATTAACTTTATTTTCTCTCTAAGTGTTTTTCTCCCCAGAATAAGCTGCAATGATTTTCTGCTGAGCTGTGGTGGCCTCATGGAGGGGGCCATCGTCTGGCACACTGCTGCTAACCACTTAAACTTTCTCCCTCTCCTGATAATAACTTTTTGTTTCCTTGACCTTGGATGTGCTACTGCTAGTTTACCCATTTAACAATAGATTCACTAGGATAAATACAATAAAGTTTATCTCTCGCCAAATAGAATATTCACTAAGCAATCACGGTGTAACCATGTACACATTGCTTGGTGTGTGTGTGCGTGCGTGCGTGCATGTGCGTGTGTGTGTGTGTGTGCGCGCGTGTGTCTGCTCTGTCTTCTCGATCCCCAGTGAGTCGTGGTGGATGGCTGCTTATACTGAGCCAGGATCCTCTGGAGGTTTCTTCCTGTTAAAAAGGAGTTTTCCTCTCCACTGTCACTATATGCTTGCTTAGTATGAGGATTGCTGCAAAGTCACTGACACAAGTCAGTGACTTGATGCAATTTGCTGGGTTCCTTATATAGGAAACTTTTTTTCTGATTGGCTTAATGAACTGACCTGAATTGGAATGTTTATTATGTGAAGTGCCTTGAGATGACTCTTGTCGCGATTTGGCGCTATATAAATAAAATATAATTATTACACAAGTTCTTCAGTTTGTTTAAAAATACTCCGTTTATAATTAATTTTGGTTATTTTCATATTTTTGGGTATGTTTTACTGTAGAATATAACTTTAGCTTTATATAAATTTGCACGTAGGTCCTTAATTGGTGAAACCCAAGTTTGACGCTCTCATCACCTCTTGACACAATTTCTCATCCAAAGAACCAAACATGAGAGGAGAAATGTCTATTTACTTAAACAAACTAAATCGACTAAATAAATACATAACGTATCCATTAGGTACAGAGATGATGAAAGAAAAGAGAGGGAGCGTTAAGCTGGGGTTTCACCCTATAAGGACCCACATTTAGTCAAAAACTGTTCGGCTTCACTCCCCATCTTCAATATTCGGGCTTTCATGCTCCGGAAATTTTTTGTGCTTCTCACTCCGTAGGCCCACCCACGTCATCCGGTAAAACATCACATCATCCAGTAAAATGTCATGTCGTCCGGTAAAACATATCATCCGGTAAAACATCACGCCATCCGGTAAAATGTCACATCATCCGGTAAAACATCACATCATCCAGTAAAACGTCATGTCATCCGGGAAAACATTATAGCATCCGGTAAAACGTCACATCATTCGGTAAAATGTCACATCATCCGGTAAAACATCACGTCATGCGGTAAAACGTCACGTCGTCCGGTAAAACGTCACCTCGTCCGTTGTTTCAACAGAACACTTAAGACATTAGCAAAATTAACAATATTGAGTTTAAAACAAACTTACATTTTCATTAGTGATTGTTTTTTTAACCATGAATCATACTACGAACAATAATTAGAAAATTTAAGCGCAGTCACTGTAGGCTCATGAAAATAGTCCGTGTGGATGTACCAAATATTTTTTTTCATTTAAAACACAACAAAAGTTCATTATTGTTTTACATCAACAATAAAAAAAAAAGCTGATGAGACTGTTTTTATATTTAAATGTATTTATGTTCCGGTATATTTAATTTATGCCAATATCAGAAGAAATGAATTCTCTGTTGTTAAAAATAACTGATTTTGTGGACTTTTTACAGGTGGATCAACAGCTGATCTCTGAGATTGTCACAGACACTCTGAATTTAGGTGTGAGAAGACTAAAGAGAGCAGAAAGGTGAGCTTCTGGTGTCGAGTCTGGAAAAACACTCAACATCAGTCAGGCTGAGCAAGACGCGAATATCGGATATAGAAATAGAATCATGTAAAAATGTAAATATCTGTTCTCATCAGTCTGAGAGCACCAGAATAAATCCTGTTAAAGAGCTTTATTCAGGATCCAGTTTTAATGGGGATCAACTTCTGACAAGGTGTTTATAAATAACCTGCAGGAAAAAAATTAAGCTGCATCTGTCACCAGCTGTGTGACTGGCGGGTGTCCCTGATATACACGCACGCACACACACACACACAGCTTAGCAGGGTTAATGAAAGCACTTGATACCAACTGCTTTCTCCGTTTACCTGTCTGCATGTCCTGGCTCACCTCTCTGAGGTGTGTGTGTGTGTGTGTGTGTGCGTGCGTGTGCGTGTGTGTGTGTGTGTGTGCGTGCGTGCGTGTCCACCCTGCAGGTTCAAAGTTCAGGCAGCGTTTAGATTCGATCCCTCCTCCAAAAGCCCGGACCTCGTTAGAGTAGTTATATGATGTGGATGTGATTTAAAACGCACACCAACCTCAGCCCGGCCTTATGCTAGATCACAAATAATAAACAAACACACAGCCCTGTCTGTCTGCAAGCTTTCATGGATTAACTGAATATACAACCTCACATGTGTGCGCGCGCACAAACACACGCGTACACTATCCTCTTTTGTCCGAGCTGCACAGCTGTTTGTGTATTCATGTCATCAGCCCAAGGGAGACTCATCTATTTAGCTTGCTGTGTAGTTTTAAGCCTTTGTTTGTTTTTTCTTTGTTTCTCACGAGGAGATTTTCTTTATGCTCCGTGTAATGATGTTGCATCACAGTCATGCTTCTGTAAAGATTCAGGCCATGCAGAAGGTTCGCAGACATCAGCCTGACTTTCGTGACAAAGATCTGAATCTGCTGCAGGATTTGTTTGTATCTTGAAATTTAAAAAAAAAAGTTTATTGTGCATGCTAGCTGCAGGCTAATGTTAGCTCTCATCTACACACTGATTGAGACTTGAGCAGCTTGCGTTTCCAGGTCTGGTTATATAAACTCTGGTGCATTGTTTGCTTTTTTTGTGGGTGTGAGCAGCTGCTAACGGGGCTCTAACCACCCAACGGCGTTCCTGCCAAACACAACAACAGGGAGTCTGACTTTCACACAAAATAACCAAACAAGGTTGCATAATCTCACTGTATCACTCTTTCTTCATTTGTCTTTTAATCTCATTCACACACACACATACACTGAAAGTATCCCCATCCAGCCCAAATGTCATGTTACATCATTTCCAGTGTTTTGAGTGAAGTGAATGGTCTCTATGTGCGAGTGCCAAGCATGCCACCGGGAGGTTAAAAACACAACAGAGTGTTCAGAGCTGATGAAATGCAAATGGAAACACAACTGGTGTTTAGACAAAGCAACGATTCCTTTAGAAAGCTGACAAGCAGAAAGCCCTTCTGGAAAGTTCCTGTTGAGCTGCACAACACGCTCTTATTGTGACGGTTTCTCCGACTCCGGAGGATGATCTGATAGTTGCACTGAGGGTCAGGAACCCGGAGGAAGCCCTGTGGCGTCTGGCACCAAAACTCTGACAGTGGATCACAGTCGGTGCAGGAAGTGGAAAGTCTGAAGGCTCCTGAAAAGTTCCCTAGCTGTGTGACCATTAGCTGCAGAAAATTAATTACTACTGGATTAAGTTCAAATTACGTAATTCTAAATTCACAACAGAAGTATTCTCCAAGATTTTTCATCTAGTTTTGAAGTAGTACAAATATTTTTTGATCTAATTCTGGGCATAAACTATAACTAAAGTGTGGTGCTGCCGGTGCGTTCAGGGGTCAGTTCCACTAGGATTATCTTTATATTTCTACAGAAATTATCATGTTAAAGGTTTATGAAACGATGCTTGCAGGAGTTGGGTAACATTTGAAGATGGCAGCAGTTAAGCTTTGAGCTGAATCAAGTTGAACGGGCCATCTATAGTTCCTCAGGTCCAAATGAACCCAGTTTCAGAGCAGACTTGTACCATTTTATAAAACACATTTATACTCCTTCTAATCTGCATTATTTTGTCTTTCCTGCAGGTTTTGACCCCCAGATGCAGAAGTTCCTGATTCTACTGTGAGTTATGTTAAAGGTGTGGAACATTTTTTAAATATTATTTCTGATTCTAAATAGTGTTTCATGCAGGCTGAACATGAAAATGGTCTCCTACACCCGTCTCCTGCATTAACTGGGGTTAAGTGGAGGCAGATGACAGTGCAGACAGCTGATATCAAATGTACCTGATGGTGTAACTGATCCTGGATCTGTCACCAAACTCTCAGGAGAAAGTTTAGTCAGCTGCCAGCTTGGATCTCTCCGTCCGTTTGTCAGTCTGAGGCAGATGGACGAGTTGGTAGAGCCATGATTAATTTAACAAGAGAACAAGAACCTGAACGGAGTTAATAGTCAGAGTTGGAACAAAATCAAAGCTATCAGACGTGTTGGATGACAGGTGGATCAGCAGGGTGACGGCGGAGCGTTCAGACGGCACCTTTGGGCCAAATGTGTTGACAACAAAAGACAAAAGTGTAAAGAAATATTATTTCCTGCTTAAAACTCTTTTAGTCGCTGTTTAATATTTATTAAAGAGATCAAAGACATTTAGTCTGGCTTCAGTAAGGATTCAGAACTCCTTCAGGTCATCAGGACGACACTCTGATCCGGTTTCAGCCTGTCGGGTCTCAGTTTCACGATGGTTCCGCTTATGTCTGCTAACCTGCTGTTGACTGGAACGGCCATAGCAAACAATTTCATGTATCTTCTAGAGCTTATCTCCAGGTCATGGTGAAGAGGACAAGCCAGACAGAAAATCTCTGTTTAAGGGTTCGTCCAAACCCCAGCCTCTGTGACCTCACCTGAGCTTCGTCTAACGACCGAAACAACAAGATCGTGGATGGAAGCGGCCAAAACGAGTTTCCTCCTCAGGGCAGCTGAGCTCAGCCTTAGAGATGGGGCGAGGAACTCAGACATCCAGAGTACAGCCGCTCCTTTCGTCGTTTAAATCTGTAATCTCACAAATCGTGATCTTCCTGGATGAGGTAGAATAAAACCTTCATAACTTCAGATTATCAGATGTTCTTCCTGCTAACGTTAACACGTACGGAGCCCAGTCCTGTTCCATTCTGCATGAGTTTTCTGAATCATTAGGTGACTTCTGCAGAACTCGGATGTGTTGAATCAGAGGAGCAGATTAGGATTAGACACTGATGGATTAAAAATGTATGAACTTTGTTGTTTAAATGCTGTAAACTTGTGAATTCAGATTACCTAGCTCAGTCTTAAAATCCATTCCATCGTTGTTCTGTTGACACATTTCCCATCATCCTTTTGAGGACTTCTTTAACTTTAGTTCTTTCTGTTTTTGTTTTATTTTTACAGGGTATCCGCGGGTCCTTAAAAAGTCTTAAATTTGCTTGTCCAATTTAAGGCCTTAAAAATCCGTAGAAATGACAAATAATCCTTAACCCTTTGATGCATAATGGTCACTACAGTGGACAGGTACTCAAAATTGTTATTTATTTTTGCTATTAAGCACAGCTGTTGAAGGCTTTATTGCATTTGAGCCCCTCCGTTTCGACTTCAGTAAGTCAAGCCAACATATTTCATGTTCAGAATGCACGCTGTCCACTGAGGTGGACATGTAATAAATTATTTGTAAATTAAATGTTGCAAAAAATATGTAAATATGAAATTTGTTTCATTCACACCTAAAGATGAATGAAAAAAATTGTTAAAAAAATCATGGTTGAAGATTTCATAATTCATGCATCAAAGGGTTAAATACAGTTTCCAAAGGTCTTAAATTACCAAAGACCCAATAAACAAGATATTTTTCTTTCTATAAAATTTTTGTGAATTTCTAGTTAGTGTTCAGCATTTTATGTGTGTCATATTTGCATAAGCGGAACCGTACACATTCAGTTGGTTATGAAAGGGGACTATTTTTAGATGAGCACATTAGCTGGTTAAGCTAGTGGGAGCTTGCACCATGGGGAAGTGCAAGTTTAATGGTAACTGGATGGCTAATCCCACGTTCGCGACATGGTTAGCACCGGTTCCAGGCAATAGCTGGAAATTATAGCTTAAATGAAATGTTAAAAAATTGCTTAAATTTGGTCAAAGTGGCCTTAAAAAAGGTCTTAAAAAGTCTTAAATTTGGCTCCCTTAAACCTGCAGATACCCTGTTTTAACTTTGTGAGCATCAGAAAAACAACGTAACCTGCATCATACCAACTTAGCTGATGGTTAAAAGCACAATAAACTGTATTTTAGGTATTTAAATTAGTTTTTCAGCTGTATTCAAACATTTTCTTTTCCTGTTTTTGTTTTCTGAACAAGATTTTCCTTGGAGCAGTTTTTCTGTTGACGACACCAGTGCACCCGTTTCAGGAACTAGAAGTGAGCCACATCAGAGTAGAGCTGAACACGGCAGGTTTTAGAGTCCTATTTCCTGATATTTGGTGATCTCGCCTCTGATTGGCTAACAGCATCATGACTCTACCACTGACTGTGTTTGCTCTGCAATGTTGATGTTTTATCTCCACAGATAACACAAACCTGGAGGAGTTCTGCTGTGTGGTGGAGTTGCTAATGCTAATTGTTAGCTTCTACTAGTCGAGATGATCTCTGCTGTTTCCTGGACGCTAAACCAACAACAGCTTCCCCGTCATGAGTCCAGATGGGTGAGTCCATGAATGTTAGTGACAGTGTGACGTAGATCTGTCAGGATTTTCTAATCCTAGAGTTTCACCGTCTGTTTTCTATCAAGCTACTGCAGGAGATAGGTGTAGTAGACTATTTTCATGTTCAGACTGCATGAAACACTCAGAGTGACGCGTTAGAATCAGAAATAATCATTAAAAATGTTTTTTCAGTGATCCACACCTTTACGGCGGCAGCTTTAGTTTTGGTTGCACACAGACTAGCTGTTAGCTCATCAATCGTGAAGGGTATAAACATAATTTCTTCAGATGTTTAATAATATAATCCTTTGAGGTGTTGTTTACCATCATTACTAATTAGATTCAGTTCTGCTGTGTTCAATTCAATTCAAGTTTATTTATAAAGCGCCAAATCACGACAAGAGTCGTCTCAAGGACCTTCACATAGTAAACATTCAAATACAGGTCAGTTCATTAAGCCAATCAGTAAAAGGTTTCCTATATAAGGAACCCAGCAGGTTGCGTCGACTCGAGTTACTGACTAGTGTCAGAGTCTTTACAGCAATCCGCATACTAAGCAAGCATGCAGCGACAGTGGAGTGGAAAACTCCCTTTTAACAGGAAGAAACCTCCAGAGAATCCTGGCTCAGTATAAGCAGCCATCCTCCACGACTCACTGGGGATGGAGAAGACAACACACACACACACACACACACACACACACACCAAGTAGTGTTTCTATGGTTACATTGTGATTTCTTAGTAAATATTCTATTTGGTGAGAGATAAACTTTATTGTATTTATCCTAGTGAATATAATTGAATCCGGACCGATACGGAAGTCTGAGTAATTGAGTAACCCACAGAACATGGTTCTCCCAGAGAACATGTAAAGGGACGTGTTACTAAACTGTAACCCGAGCCGTTCTGAGTAAATTTTATCCTCTCATCATTAATGCAGCACTTCACACAAGAGCCATCAGGAAGCAGCGATTAAACACAAGAATGCATGAAGAGTGAGACAACTGGAGAGTCAGCGCGTGTTTAACACACACACACACACACACACACACACCTTTAGCTGTCAAGCGCTGCAGGTTTCAAGCATGCAAACTATCTCTCACGCGCAGGTCAACCCAAACATTTAAATGACACGTCAGTTAAGCTGAATAAGTCCAGACACAAATCGAGTCTTTTCTCTTTATTTGTAACACTTCAGCAGTCAAGTGCAGTTTTCTACGGGGCTGCCACCGTGGAAGTGAGTTTACTTTGGCAACTTTTCTGAGTAAAAGCAGTCTGAAAGTCAGAGAGGAGCCCAAACTGTCCCTGATAGGGTGACATAAGACGGCTACGCGGCGGGTCATTTGTAATTATGACATCACAACATCCTGACAAAACAGAAAAATGCTTTTACAGTAAGGATGAATCCCAGATCCACTCCTGTCCTGATGCCGTTGCCTGCAGGTCTCAGAGGAGCCACAGAAAGCTGCTTCGCAGCAACTTTTCTCGGCGCAAAACGTGAACCGCGTCTTAAAATAGTTCTCCGTAATGTCGCTGTGTTCAGATATGCAGAGGCTGTGGGATTCCTACATGGGCCCGTTCCATCCCACGGTCCAGTTTCACAGGTGTTTGTGCAGAAGGACCCTAAATCACGCTTGTTTCTCTAAATAAGTGGAAGACTTTTCGTTACACTTGTGAATAAAAAAAGAATGCATTGTTACAGAGTCTAAAACGTCTCGTTTTCCTCGTGTTTACATAAATATGTTTGTGCGTTACACAAGAACGTTTACCGTCCCCCTGATAAAGGAACTTATTGTGACCGGAACCTCGGTGGAAAGTGGTGGTCGAGTAAGAAGCTTTACGCGGAGCCAAAGCCCCTCAGAGCGACCAAACAGGACTCTAACAGTAATCCATACGCAGATTTAAACCACATTCACTCATGATTCTCGGGGAAGCTTTTCTCCTTCCATCAGACGAACGCGGCGACGTCATCAGACTTGGTTTAACAAACCATGAGATTGTAAAGCTGTGAGCAGTTAGCCAGCAGGAGCATCCAATCAAGGATCCAATTTCAGCTCATTATGAAGTTTATGGATCTTAATCCAAACAGAAGATGTCTTTTTTTTTTTTTGTTCATTTAAAAGCATCGTTGCTGCTCGCAAGAAGGATTCAAATGTATGTGATTCATTGTTTCTTCGTCCAAACTTTAGATCCGCGTTTTAAGATTCGATAAATAAACATCCTAAAGTAATTTTTGGGTTTGTTTTTAGGGAATTTTAGCTTCGCCCTGCGATGGACCAGCTCTCTGTCCAGGGTGTACCCCGCCTGATTCAGTGGCGTGTCCAGATCTTTTAAAATGGGGTGGCCCAGGTGAGGCACACCTTTGTGCATGGGTGGCACCAATGGATATGCTTTTTTGTTTTTAATCCCCAAGCCTTTTGTGGACAATGAAAAGCCTATTTAAAGGTAAATTAGTGTGGTGGCACCTGGGGTGGCCAATCAGATTCCAAGGGTGGCATGTGCTACCCCAGGCCACTCCCTGGACACGCCCCTGGCCTGATTGCCCATTGACTGCTGGAGATAGGCACCCCCACCCCCCACCCGACCCTGCATGGACAAGCGGGTTCAGAAAATGGATGGAATTCTAGCTTCATTCTGGGTTTCCTCAGCAGTTCCCAAACTCTTCAGCTTCTGACTCGCAGAAATCTAACAGATTGGCCTCCTAAAGCACCTGGTTCTGACTATTATCTCCAGCTTTAGTGGGACAGTCGCGTTTTACTTAAACGTGTCCATCCGACTCCGATGTGACCCACGTGCACGGAGGTGACATCGTATCGCTGCACGTTGTGTTTCTGGACGTAAACATGGAAGCTACGTGTATTTATTTTACCTGCAGCCTTTCACGGCCCCCAGCGGGCCTCGGCCCCCGCTTTGGGATCCGCCGCTGCAGATGATCATAATTTATGATGAACTGATGAGATTTAGCTGATTGTTTGAAATGATTCATGGTAAAAGAAATGTGAAACACTCGAAGAACGTCGCCTCACGGAGAGCGGCTTCTTTACACGATGCTAAACTCCAAAAATAAACATCTGATTTCGAACCTAAGTTTCCAGCTGATTTATTTATTATTTATTATTTATTATTAGTGGTGCCTCATCGTCCTCTTGACCCTTTAAACTGACTTTAAGCTGCTTTCGGACCACAGATGTGATCTGGTTCTTCCTCACTGGAGACAACAGTTCAGAACTCTGAGTGTTACATTCCTCATTGAGGTCAAAGGTCAGCCGCGAAGCCTCTGTCTACTCTGGCCTGTCTAGCTTATTGTGCAGTGACTACTAATAGAAATTATTGCTTCAGAGTCACTGATTGTGTTTTTGGAAGACGGTCTCCGACCCAACACTGATTTTGCGGCCCCTCCGCTCAGAGCCCGGCTACACCAGCGATTCACACACAGGCGGGTTGTCGGAGTCCTGGCTGTGCATGGAGCTCAGGCCCGTGTCCGAGTCCTCATCGTTGGTGCTGCAGGCCTTGGACAGACCTCGAGCCTGCTCCACCCAGCCGCTGCTGCTTCCCTCCGCTGACCCCGGGTCAGCTTCAGCGCTGCTGGCACCCGGCTCTTCCTTGCGATCATCATCATCATCATCATCATCATCATCATCATCAGTCACCTTTTGGTTTGCTTGCTCCATCTCCATGGTTTCCACCTTGGCCAGCAGGTCCAACAGTTCACTTTCTTTGGTTTCCCAGAGTGCCAGACTCAGGTCCAAGTCCCCCCTCATGGCATCCAGGTCTGTCTTCAGCCTCAAGCCGATGTACAGACTGGTGTCCAGCTGGGTTTTGAGCCTCTCCTTGTCCAGCAGCTGCTCGTCCTCAGCATCTGCTTCCCCTGACGCGGAGAGAGGAACGTCCTCCGTGATGCTCTCCGCGTCCTGCGCCGCTTCCGCTCCTTTCTCCTCCCGCAGCATCCACCTCTGGTTCAGCTCCTCCTGGATCTCCCCGGTGATGCTCTCCAAGAGGGCTTCGCGCTCCGTCAGCTCCTCCTGCAGCCGGACCACCTCCTCACAGCGGCACGCGTACTCCTCGAACTGCGCCAGCACCTCTGCGGTGTAGCGCGCATCTTGGCGCTCAGCTTTGCGCTTACAGTCCGAGGGCGCAGGAGCGTCCGGGGACTCCACCATGTAGGTGTCCTGCACGTAGTTCACCCCGTGCCTCTTGATGCGGTCAAAGTGGACCTTAGCCTCGAAGCGCTCGATCTCCCGGTCCAGTTCTTTGATCCGCTGGATCTGCTGCCGGATCGTGTGGTCCTGGGAGATCACCAGGTGCACCAGCGTCTCCATCTTCTCCACGGAGCCGTTGTCCTTGCACACCTCCTGCTCCTTCTTCCTGTTTATTTTGTCCAGCTTCCTGAAGGCTTTCCGAACGATGCGCCTCTGTTTGTCCTGGGACAAGTTGGCAGCGGCGGCCGCGGCGGTCCAGCACGTCCTGGCGGTGCCCTTGAGCAACCCGCCTGGGCCCCCACTGTCTCGGCTCTGGACGACCCGCGCCTCGGCGCTGCGTGGTCCGTTGTTGGGCAACGAGGCGTCGTTCTTCAGCAGAACGAAGCGGACGTTCTCCTGCTCGTGCCCCCAGGCGCTCCAGAGCCGCAGGATCTTGGTCTTGTTGGGTAAAATCCTCTCGAAGCCTCTCCACTTCTCCACCAGGCAGTAGGACTGAGGCGAGCCGGACAGCATAGCCGCCGAGACGCCCTGCTGCAGGTTCTGGTCCTCCAGCAGAACCTTCACAACATCGGCGCAGGTGGTTCGCTTCGTCAGCCCGGAGACCAGCTTCTCCTCCCGGCAGACCCAGACCGAGATCTTCCCCTCCTCCGGCTCCATCTTCAGACCAAAGCGAAGTTTGGAGTGAGTCTTCAAAACAAGCGAAGTGTTTTGAGTTCAGAGTTGTGATTCCGTCTGCTGAGGAGACATTTCTGCGCTCCAGCCAGTTAAGTTCTGGTTCAGGCTGAACTTCGCGCGTCTCTCAGCGCGTTAAAGCTTTTACATGAAACCACCACATCCTTGCAGAGACCCCGTTAGATCCGGTTTCACACCGGGTCCACATCCCCGTCTACCCCGGCGGATCGGTCTCAGTTCTTGCGCGCAGCTCCGTCCGGTGCGTCAGGACGCGCTGCTCTGAGCGCGAACCAGACAGGAGGCTGCTGTATCCTCCTCCTCCTCCCTCCTCTCTCTCACTCCCTCCTTCTCCCTCAAAGTGAAACTGAGAATCATTTTTCAGCCTCCAACTGTGGCTTTGGTTCCCTCTGGCTTAAACTTTCATGTTTTATTAGAATAAACCTCATCCTGTTGATCAGTGAAAGTAGGAAAGCGTCCAAACTTTCACCTCTTGGCTTGAAAAAAGAAAAGTTCCAGTATTTTATTATTTTGTGATCTAGTTTGGTGAGAAAAAGGTAAAGAAAACTTCTACATCAGTTGTTAGGAATTCATGTTAAGTTTTGGGGTTTTTAATAACTCAGATTATTGAGCTTAATTCTGACATTTTTAATTAAAACTCTTGTTGCAGGGATTTATCTTGTTTCATGTCAGGCCAGCTGGGTGTTGATTTAATTATTTGGCTCAGTGTAGTCACGTTTATTCACCTCAGGTGGACTTTTCAGCGTTGAGGTGATGCTTTCCGTTTAAACGACCCCAGAGAGTCGAGTCGTCGCTCGGCATGGCCGGCTGCAGGATGCATTGTTCCACAGTTTTATCTCTTTAATCTCCACTTGGCTGAATATTTTTGGCTCAGCTGCACTGACTAAGCAGAAGAAATCCATGTTTTACACTCTGTAGAGTTTTTATAATGTCTGGCTGCCTAAGCTGCTGTTACACGGTTTGTGTGGCTGCAGATAGTTTAAAATGTTTAGCTGTGTGCGCGTGTGTGTGTGTGTGTGTGTCAGGAGGGGAGGGGAGCTTGCATGTGTATATTATCTCTTTAGCATGTTTGTGTATCCTAACCTATGCTTAGGCCAGGTTTGTTGGTTAATTAGCTGCTTAAAAACACACACACACACACACACACACACACACACACACACACACACACACACACACAGGGCGAAACGTGAGCATGCATGCACATACTGCACTCAGACATTCAGTGTGTGCGTGCACATAATCGGCGTGCATTACAAACACAGGATTTGGATTAAGGGGATTGTCTGTGCTACATGTGGGATGTGAGCGAAAGCAGAAAGTTTCTGTTTGTGTTCCTTTGATCTCATTTCCTGTCGGGTCACACAGCGTCTGACCTGCAGCTCTGATATTAGCCGTCAGGCTCGATTCCTCCAGTCTTCATTTAATAAATGTGAGCATGTATGTATTCATCATGTTTAAAGTCAGTCAACATTCCACTCTTCGGCGCAGCGCGGCTACGGTGGCCCACGCGCATCAAAAAGGCTACGTGTCAACAGCTTCCAGCTTTCACTCCAGCCATCAGGATCAGGAGCGCAGCTATCAGGGATTCACACATGGTGTGGGGTGGGGGGCTGTGATACATGGCTCTCGGGGAGCGGCGGTTCACATTGAGCAAAAAACACTGGTTGTCGCTTAGCTGCCGGCTAGCGGAGGAAGCTGGAGCAGGTTGGGCTGCGAGAGGAGGACCTGTAGGAGAAGCGTTGAAGTAGGACTTTGGCACTGATGTGCTGGGACCGGATCGGGAGCTCTAGAACAAAGAAACGATAAATGAGCGACTTCAGTTAAGCGAGCGAGGAACCTAACCGCGTGGAGGCCGGCGTCCAGCTAATGGCGGGTGCTGAGACTGACGTGATTAGCCCACTGAGAACAGCAGCGGCGTTTGTTCTCCTCTTGGTTTGGCCGACTCTGTGCCGCCCTCCGCTCTTTCAGGTCACATCATGTCAAAGTGCAAAGCATTATACCTTTTGTCCCTAAACGGCTACCATATTTCAAGCTAAGAGTAATATTTAGAATAAACGCTGGTGAGAAATGGTGAAAGTACAAGTTTGTGTATGGTATACACGGAACAATGGTAAAGGAGTGCAAATATTACACACTGTGCCTTTAATGATGGATGTTTAACAGCGGTAACTAGTTAGTAATAAAGTGCAAAGGCTTAAATAATGATTTAAAAGTAAACCAATAGAAAACTTGAGACCTAGTTCTAATAAATGAATGAGACCATCATTCATTAGACTGTGGCGCCCTCTGCTGGTCAGTTTCACTAATGTGTGAACTCACCTAGACATTGGTTTCTAAGTAAATCAGGTTGTTTGTGTTTGTTTATGCCTGAAATCTAAAAAAAAAAAACTTTGGAATTTGTACCTTTGTGGTTTTGGTTATTCCTTCGTAAACCTCTGAAAGAGGACGAGGTTAGACGAGTGTGAAGGTTAAAGCAATCTCTTCTTAGGGGAACTTCCTGTTGCAGTTACAAATCTGCTGTGTTCGTCTCTGCAGGGACCAGATCAAAGACGATGCAGGAAGAACAGATCAGGACTGAGAGGCTTGGAAGTCCCACTGAGTTTGGGGTTCCTAAAACGCACCGTGGAGGACACCAGGTGGGTAGAAGCATCTTAACACCTGACAACGGAGGCCAAATGAGCAGGGAAGCAGAAGCACAGTTTAGAATGGACCATTTATTTAAAGTGAATAGCGAATGCGTACAAAGTCTCTACAAAGCTAGAAAATATCTAACGTACTTTTAGCCATGAGGAGGAAACGTTACAAGCAAAGATCAGACCCTGTGCAGAAGCAACACACGACTAGCTCCTGGATTTACTAAATGTGTTGTTTTTTCTCTTCACAAAATAGGATGAACATTAGAATATCAAAGATATACACAACATCTGTAATAAAGGGTATTGTCACTTTTATGCAAAGCACCTTATTAAAAACTCTCGGCACCGGAGAGGAAAGATTCAAGGCCATTTCGGAATCCATTACAGACGGAAAAGAGGACTAAAACCACCCGACGCTCACAAACAAGACGACGTTAAGAACACAGACCACGCTGATCGAGGAACGCTGAAAGCGAGCTGCGCTCCGAGGCTTTTCTTCTGACGGTCTTTGGTAAGCAGGGCTCGGTGCCGTCTGCTGGGTCAGCGCTCACGCGCTGATGCTCGGGTGTCTGGACCAGAACTCCTCCGGGGTGGTTCTGGGTTGAGATCAGACCTCGCCGCTCGTCTGGCTCCAGCTCTGAAGCTTCTGAACGCAAACCTGAGTTATGGGCCATTCCCATCTGTACCGGGTAGCCCCAGTCGGCCCCAGCCTGGCCCGGTTGATTCCACACATCCTTGTCTTAAGCCCATGTGGGCTGATTCTACCCACCAATCAGAGGCTTGCTCTAATGGAAGGTGTGAATTTGCTGTCAGCAGTGGGTGTGTTGGCCCTGGTCGGCCTGAAGCAGACCCCCTCGAGAAGAGGGCTGAGAATGAGCCTTGGTTGGCCCGGAAAAGTACCAGGCCACCCAGATATGTAAACAACCTACGCTACCCGGCCCGGGCCGACCCGGTACAGATGGGAATGGCCCAGTAGATCTTCTGTTTTATGCAGACGGTGCTTGTTCTCACCAATCTAGTCTGGCCTTCAGGAATCAGATTAAGGAAAACGAGATGCCTTAAATATTTTATGCTTCTTTCGTATTTTTCTGCCTAATTATCCCAGATCCACACGCTCCAAGGTTTAAAGCCATTTAGTCAAATTCTTGCTTTATTTCACGAAAAAACGTGTTTAAAGTAGTTTCTGTATCAAGTGCTTTGTTTAGATGGAAGTTTGGTTTACTTTACCATCAGACTTCTTTAGTAATCTGAGAATTGAGTCACATTTTAAGACGAATCGGTGTTTTCCCTAACCTATGAAGCTGCTGCCTGTGGTTCGGCGTCTAGTTTTTAAATAAAAAACCAGATAAAATCACCGCTTCGACTTTATTAGATGTGAAAAGAACAAGAAAGCATTCAGCTGACCCGTTTAGTTAATCCAGAGCTTAAAAGCAGATTAAATGTTAGATTTTTGGATAATTAGCTAACAGACACCAGTGAACTGTCTACCTCCAAAGGCACTTCATGCTGCTGAGACCGACACGGACGACTGCTACAGGAGATGCCAGCCAGCCGCTTTTTGGTTTCAGACTCTAATCTGGAGGAAAATGTCTGAATCCTGCAGGAGGAGGTGCTAAGGCTTCCAGTCTGGGTTAGGATTTAATCCCGTCCTGTGTGTGATAGTTTTTATTTAATTCACAGTGCTTCTAAAGAGGACTCGCAGCGGGACGTTCAGAGTAACTCTCGGATCTCTCCCTCTCCTCGTCGGGAATGCTTTCAGCCCAACCGGAGTGAAATCCACAGGATTATAACTTCAGTTTCAATCTGGATGAAGAGTCACTGGCTTCACATCAAGGTATCTGGATCTAAAATATAATATGTCCCCCAAGTTCATAAGAATTTTTGTTTTTTTTAGAGAAAACTTACAAAAAGGTAAAAATTCAAATCTTTTCTTTGGGACAAAACTTTAATTTGTGCGGTTTCCAGCGTCTCTCTGTACAAATCCACCTCTAAGACACAACAACGCAGAAACGTCACGTCCTCCTCTCTGGTTATCGGCGGTACACCGGGTCTGACCTTTGCCGTCCCGACGTTCAGATCTACTCAGAGAGAGAAAGAAACCACGTGGAGTCGGGATGATTCTGATCGGTCTCCATGGCTGCGCTGTCACATCCCAGAGAGGAAACAGAACATCAACAACCCGCCCGTTACGGCGTTCCTTCTCTCGTGAGTAGCGGTGAACGTGCAGCCACGTCGTGTAGGGATCTGGTCTCCCCTCCAGCGTCTCCACCGAGCAAAGGTCACGCGGGGTTACTCCTTGACTAGTCGATAGATGTGATGTTGTGCTCCGTGATCGTTGTTGGAGACCTCAAACACACACGCCATACACAGCAAGGTCTCCTGTGTGTCTCTGTTGTTCACCACCTGCACACACACACACACACACAGATGAATTAAGCATCACTGAAATTATCTGATGCATGTTTGTGTGGTTGACAAATTCATAATTTCATGTAAATTGTTACAGAAAGCTTCCTGAACAGCCTCTGTTTGAAGAAATAGCAGAGATGGGAACTGTGGCATCAACAAGTCATCTCCATGCGGTTTTTGTTCTGCTCGGCAACAAAACCAGGTGATTTCAATCAGCACAGTGAAGGAACCTGACTCAGTTGCTGAGCAGAACAGAAGCAGCACGGAGATTTCCCATCTCTGCTGATTACAGCTGTGACCCTGAGCAGGATGAAATGCTTTTAAAAACAGAAGTTGAATGAAATACCAGGCGGAGATGGGAACTGTGGCATCGACAAGTCATCTTCGTGCGGTTTTTGTTGCCGAGCAGAACAAAAGCAGCACGGAGATGACTTGTTGATGCCACAGTTCCCATACCTGAAAAATAGCTTATATTAGGGCTGGGCAATGATGCTAGGGCGCTAATGCTACGATGAATGAAAGCTAACAGCAGATGATTTAGAAACTTCTCCCCAACGTTTGATCAGCTGTGTGGGCTGACCTCACGCTGATAAAACCGATTTATCGCCCAGACATGATTCAGACTGATGCTCTAAGAGCTCCATAATAACATTTTAATGTGTAAAGGTCTTGACATTTCTACTGGGAGAGACCAGCCGTTATTCATAGTAATGGTTTGGTGTGTTTGTGTAATTAGTGGTATGTAGCGACGGGTATCGAATTCCACAGTACCGACCGAGCACCGATTCACGTCATTTGAAACGGTGCCTCGTTTCGGTACCCGTCCTTCATAACGAGAACTTGCCAAGACAGCTGTGCATGTGCAAGAGCGTTATGTCGTCGGTCTTTGCGAGCCAGTTGTAAACAGAGCAGCATGGTAGAGAGAACGCACGCTAAAGCTTGGGTCCACTTCACTAAATGTGACGGGTAACTGGGTGATGATGAAACCAGCGACAACGATCTAAGTGAGACATCCTCATCTTAATCTGCTCCGGTAGGTAAATAAAATGTTTAAGATAACGTTAGCTTGATATGTTAGCTTCCGTTCCGTTAATGGTGCGTTCACTTTACCTCGGAACTCTGAATTTCCGACTAGAAGAACATAAATGCGCTCTAAAGTTTGGCTTCACTTTACTAAATGCGACGGGTGATTGGGTGAAGATGAAACCAGCGACAACGATCTAAGTGTGAGGCGTCATCGTTTTAATCTGCTCCAGCAGCTAAATAAACTGTTTAAGATAACGTTAGCTTGATATGTTAGCTTCCATTGTTATCAGCTAATGGTGCGTTCACTTTCTCCTCGGAAATTCTAACTTCCCAGTAGGAAAAATCAAATGAAAAAGGACGGCAAAAGGAATGAAGATACACAGTAAATTTAGTTCACAGTAAAGATGTTTGCTTCAGTTTAATTATCAGCTTATAAAACTACAAGGACGATGTTAAAATACAAACAGTTGAATGTTATTTATCGTGATATTTATCAAATATGGTTATATATTGAGAAAAATATATATTTAATTATAAAAGAGAATTAAAATAATAAACACTCAAAAGTATCTAAAATTGGTACCGTTAAGTACCGGTATCGATTCCTAGGTACCGGGAATTAGTACCGAATAGATTCAAATGTCAAAGGTACCCATCCTTAGTACGGAACTAGGATTGGGACAATATTGCATGAAACCTTCATTTTGTAACTTGCAAAAAACAATCAATGTACAAGTTTCAAATCAGAAATGTCAGTCTACAAGTACGAAAATTTTTTCCCGATTCTGGCTTCCTGTCCAAGACGATTCCTGTTGGTCAGAATCGGGACAAAATGTTTTGTACTTGTAGACTGAGATTTGTGATTTGAAACTTGTTCATTGATTGTTTTTTGCAAGTTACAAAATGATGGTTTCATGTTACGTCGTACAAAACAAAAGTTACATGTAATATTGTCCCAATCCTAATTCCGTATTAGAACTGATCCCTAAAGAATTATAGGACGTCGGGTTGGTGGTTAAAACAACTTCAGGTGAGAATACCCGATTACAACGTGTATTTCCCTGCAGGAGGAGTAGTTAAAGTGCTGCTAAAAGCCGATGATTGTAAACCGTTAAAACACAGTTTGTTCCTCGGCGACCTGGTGTTGTGTTGAAACCGTTACCCCGTGCACAGACGGAGGCTCTCACCAGCAGAATAGTGAAGTTCTCCAACACGCTGTTCATCATGTACTTTTCAGGCAAGTGTTTGAGCTTGTGGATGAAGTTGATCATGTATTCACACATCGGTGAACGGCTGATTCTGTAGACGAATCTGCTGTTTTCAAACCGGGCGTACTCCGTCTGTCAACGGGGAGAGAGATGGTTACTACTCAAGTAAAATATAGATCAGCTGTGACCCTCCAGGGCCACCATCCTGCAGGACGGGGGCTACAAGACCCCTCTATTGAAACATCAGTGGTGGTTTACATGATGCACCAGTAAAGCTGGATTATTAATCTCTGGGTCTTGTGTTGAGCATGTTTTAGTTGTTTTCTCTGCTCTCTCTTCAGAGAGAGAGAGAGAGAGAGAGGAGAGAGAGAAGAGAGAGAGAGAGAGAGAAAGAGAGAGAGAAAGAGAGAGAGAAGAAGAGAGAGAGAAAGAGAGAGAGAAAGAGAGAGAGAAAGAGAGAAAGAGAAAGAGAGAGAGAAAGAGAGAGAGAAAGAGAAAGAGAGAGAGAAAGAGAGAGAGAAAGAGAGAGAGAGAAAGAGAGAGAAAGA